TGGTGATGTCCCATTTCACCTCTGAGAAACGGGAGACGTCAAACTTGAAGATGAGGTGGAACCCGAATCGGTTGGGAGCCGTGCAGTGGAATTTTACTCCATTGTAGACATTGATGTCTCGATTTTTCACAAGGGGGTTCTCCTGTTTATCACTTGTGTATTCCTGGAAAGCATCCCGTAAAGGCGCAATAAAATCTTCTCTTAAAAGGCGGAACTGGATGTCTAGATAATGTTCTACATCGGTATAAGCTCCTCTCGTGATGTTCGGTCGAAGGAAGGGAATTTCGGGATGCAAAATTTCCTCAGACGTGGGAGTGACAGGAATGTCACGAAAATTGTCCGGTGGCGACTCTCGATGGAAGCCATTCAACCATTCTGTTCTTCCTCCGAAGCTGCGAGAGGGAACTGATTCCCCTCGCATTGTGTCCCTAGAGGCCTGTTCAGCCGTGGCAAGGAGCTCAAAAAACTTATTATTCATCTCTTCCACGTCGAAACCGTAGATCTGGAGTTGAAATAGGTAGTTCCTGCAGGCATGAACGAGTTCCACCACTTTCGTGTCAGAGTAACATGGTTGTCTCGTGACTAATGCCTTCAGCACCAGAAAGAGCTGCTCCAAGACCATGTATCCCTTGACGTTCCTGGAGATGTCACGTTGGAGTTCAAACAGAACTGTGAACGAACAGGCTTCCAGGAATTCGCTTTGCATCAGCATGGCGAGAGACTCTTGAACTAGACCGTCGCACCCCACCGCAAGGGATACTTTTGCAAACACTTCCACGATGAGGATCATCCAGTTCATCTTTTGGAAGGTGTCTGAGCGAGAGAGGAGTCTCCGAAAGTTATCATTGGGATCCATGACTGTCATCACGACTTCTAGAGGCGACAATTTCGTGGCAATCTCTCTCAGTCGCTTGAATCCAACATATGAAAACGGCCTGGTGCCTCCCCAGCGTGATACAGCTGTTTGGTCTGTCCAGATTTGCCTTCTTGAGCTTCCTGCGGTTCTCCATTGCAG